TATTCAGCTTTGACAAAAAAGAATTTTAATTAATTCAAATTGCTTGAGGAAGTATTTTATGAATTTTACATCCCTCACCTTTTTACCATTATTGAATTATTAACAGTGCACTATCTTTTACTTAAAGCCTGATTTTCTGTTTATTATCAGCTAATTTTACCATTGAAGAAAAAACAACAATCAGTTTAAGTATAAATGTTTACACTATATTGAGGAAACCCTTCAATAATGATTACTGAAGTACGTATTTTATTGTCATTATCACTTGCATTCGGAGAGTAACAACACATTAGTGAATCCCATCCTAACACATTTTGTGCAATAATAAGAGTGGAAAAACTATATTATAACATTTATCAATATATTTTGTAAAACTTATAAGTAAAGGAAATTTTTAGAACATAGTAGTTACGACGTGTTAAAATAAAACACTTGACTCCAATCGTTTCTATAAGCTAGCAAGTACCTCATTTAAAGTGAGTGAAGATCTGCAAACATAATTAGCATTTAGACAAGACCTTGCAAATTGTCCCATTAGCTTGCATTAACCTAATAACACTTGTATACAATAATCTGGTAAAGCATCAATTAGTTCAGCGTTATCAATACCTAATCTATTACGTCAAGTAGCTTATAAGCATAATAAGATAATCATACTACGTCTAAATAAATAAAAACAACATAGTTATGTATGGTGTTTTTAGTTTAGGTTCGTCTAGTTTAGGTAGTTTACATCTAACTAAACGGTTCACAGTGGATCGCTAGACAGACAAACATCATATCATTGTTATAAAATATAGATTACAGCGAGATACACGGTTTACATAAATAATAATACAATTTAAGGAAATCATCTCGAAAATGTTTGAAATGTTATAATAACTAAAATAACTTTTAAACCTTATTAGAGCAATTTTTAATAGTAACAAGAAAACGTACCTAACATTGGATAGGCACCTTAGACAATTTAAAATTAATTGGACACACTTGAGACTCTAGGACTTGGTGGATAAAGTTTACATATTTTTTTATAAAAATTGATAAGTTTTTTAAAATTACTATACTATTAGACTCCCTGTATAGGGTATTTTGTTTTCTTTCATAGACAATATAGACCATTAGTGCCTTATCATTTACTTTTACAAAATGATTTACAATTTACAAAATCATTTACTTTTTAGTATACGAACTAGGAAAAACATGACGTTATTATCCTAAGCATGGAAATGACGTATTTTAAAATCATTGTTTAAAGAGATTATACCTGTCAAACACCAGATATGGTTTACAAGTGTCCGCAGTTCTCTAAGGTGAAAAGGTCCTGAGGTTTATGAAGATTACCAGATATGGTTCACAAGTGTCCGCAGTTCTCTAAGGTGAAAAGGGCCTGATGTTTATGAAGATTACCAGATATGGTTCACAAGTGTCCACAGTTCTCTAAGGTGAAAAGGTCCTGAGGTTTATGAAGATTACCAGATATGGTTCACAAGTGTCCGCAGTTCTCTAAGGTAAGAAAGACCTGCTGTTTATGAAGATCACCAGATATGGTTCAAAAGTGTCCACAGTTCTCTAAGGTAAGAAAGACCTGCTGTTTATGAAGATCACCAGATATGGTTCAAAAGTGTCCACAGTTCTCTAAGGTGAAAAGGTCCTGAGGTTTATGAAGATTACCAGATATGGTTCACAAGTGTCCGCAGTTCTCTAAGGTGAGAAGGGCCTGATGTTTATGAAGGTTACCAGATATGGTTTACAAGTGTCCACAGTTCTCTAAGGTGAAAAGGTCCTGAGGTTTATGAAGGTTACCAGATATGGTTCACAAGTGTCCACAGTTCTCTAAGGTGAAAAGGTCCTGAGGTTTATGAAGATTACCAGATATGGTTCACAAGTGTCCGCAGTTCTCTAAGGTGAAAAGGTCCTGAGGTTTATGAAGATTACCAGATATGGTTCACAAGTGTCCGCAGTTCTCTAAGGTAAGAAAGACCTGCTGTTTATGAAGATCACCAGATATGGTTCAAAAGTGTCCACAGTTCTCTAAGGTGAAAAGGTCCTGAGGTTTATGAAGATTACCAGATATGGTTCACAAGTGTCCGCAGTTCTCTAAGGTGAGAAAGACCTGTGGTTTACGAAGATCACCAGATATGGTTCAAAAGTGTCCACAGTTCTCTAAGGTGAAAAGGTCCTGAGGTTTATGAAGATTACCAGATATGGTTCACAAGTGTCCGCAGTTCTCTAAGGTAAGAAAGACCTGAGGTTTATGAAGATTACCAGATATGGTTCACAAGTGTCCGCAGTTCTCTAAGGTAAGAAAGACCTGCTGTTTATGAAGATCACCAGATATGGTTCAAAAGTGTCCACAGTTCTCTAAGGTGAAAAGGTCCTGAGGTTTATGAAGATTACCAGATATGGTTCACAAGTGTCCGCAGTTCTCTAAGGTGAGAAAGACCTGATGTTTATGATTGTTACCATATATAATTCACAAGTGTCCGCAGTTCTCTAAGGTGAGAAGGACCTGATGTTTATGATTATTACCAGATATAATTCACAAGTGTCCGCAGTTCTCTAAGGTGAGAAGGACCTGATGTTTATGATTATTACCATATATAATTCACAAGTGTCCGCAGTTCTCTAAGGTGAGAAGGACCTGATGTTTATGATTATTACCATATATAATTCACAAGTGTCCGCAGTTCTCTAAGGTGAGAAGGACCTGATGTTTGTGATTATTACCAGTTACAATTTACAATTTTCCGCAGTTCTCTAAGGTGAGAAGGACATGTGGCTTACGAGGATTACCAGATATGGTTCACAAGTGTCCGCAGTTCTCTAAGGTGAGAAGGACCTGATGTTTTTGAAGGTTGAAAGATATGGTTCGCAAGTGTCCGCAGTTAGTTTCCTAAGGTGAGAAGGACCAGAGGTTTATGAAGATTACCTCTGGCCTCTGCACCTGAGCGTCGTCAGGATAACACTTTACTGCTTCGATAGGCGAGGGAATGCGAATGAATGTAGGTGTTTTAACACGTTGATGTTTGACTTCAAAACGAAATAGTAACCTCTAGTCCTGTATAGTAGTATGGTAGTTTAGTAGTGTAGTTACCACTAAATTATTTAAATTTTTCACAGCCTACCTAAGCTTTAAATTGGAAATAATGGCATAATTCATGTTAAAACGTGATTACATTAGTAAGAAAATTAGTATATGCGAAATGTCACTATACAATATTATTGTGATATTCTTTGACTAATTTTACTCACATTAGGAAGGTACTGTTTGTTACAATATAAATTTTTTTATGTAATATTAATCAAACGCTGCAACCAGGTTTGCAATTTAATTAATAAATTAAAATTGAAATTTAATAAATAAATTGTAAGATACACAGATTACACCATATTCGTTTTAAGTCATATTGTTTATTACGAGTTTCTAAAGCAACTACTGACATAGACTGAACAAAATAAATAAAATCAGTTTGCCACCAAAAATATACTTTAAAGAAGGTGTTAAGACCTGCTCCCTAGATATCGGAAATTGTTACTACGATAAAATATTTACTAAAATATGTTAATTGAATTGATTATTTTACGAATAAAGCAATATTTAATTGCGTTACACTGATATCTCTACATTATACAGGTTTTGCTGATTTATGCGATATCTTGACCTACAAAGAAATGCCTTTTACAAGTTGTTTTTCTATCTTATTATTATGTATAACAATCACAACCACCCTTACCAAATTTTAGATTTTGCATGGTACAAATACCTAACTTTGTATGGTCGCCATTTCAAAGAAAAGTATTAAACTATATAATAACTACCCGCCTTTGGCTCGCTGGGGGCTCCGCCCCCAGGCCCCCTAGCTGTTAGTCGTCATTAGTAGATTAGAGATAAGTTGTAACAAAGCAAGAAGTGAAACCGTCAATATTAAGTTATATAAGTTAATTTCGAGTAACATTTTTACGAATATTTTAGAAAGCCCCTTATACAAAAATCGTGGGTAGATTTGCGGTAAGTGAGTATGTTAGTAGAGTATTTTTACAATTGAGTTTTTGGTCAAAGGAAGTAATAATATGAGGAGCAAAGGGTTCGTTATAGTAGAAATTGACATTAAAGTAATAACGATTTCATGAATTTATTAGAGGAGATTGATAAGTTAATAAGTTGATAATAGTAAAGTATTATATGAAGTAAATAGATTATAGTAGATATTCAAGTATATAATTACGAAAATAGATTAAGTAAGGTTTGTTTCCCTGTCGGTTAGCCATAAACTTTATGGCATATCCAGTTCCGCCACGAGGAGGCCAGGAAACGTCGGAACCATATTTGCAATTATTTGAATATGTACAAGTTAGTAAACTTTTGTACAAGATAAGTAAATTGATATTGGTGTTCATTGATAGGTTAATAAGTTGATAATAGTAAAGTATTATATGATGTGAATAGATTATAGTAGATATTCATGACGTATATATTTATGAAAATAGATTAAGTAACGTTTGTTTCCCTGTCAGTTAGCCACGAACTGTATGGCATATCCAGTTCCACCACGAGGAGGCCAGGAAACGTTGGAACCATATTTACAATTACTTACAAATGTACAAATTAGTAAACTTTTGTATAAAATGAGTAGATTGATTAGTATGTCGATTGATAAGTGAATAAGTTGATAATAGTAAAGTATCATATGAATTAAATAGATTATAGTAGATATTCATGTATATATTTATGAAAATAGATCAATAATGTTTGTTTCCCTGTCGGTTAGCCATACAATTTATGGCATATCCAGTTCCGCCACGAGGAGGCCAGGAAACGTCGGAACCATATTTACAATTATTTACAAATGTACAAGTTAGTAAACTTTACTAACTACTTTATACAACAACGGGGACTTTTGATAAGGCAGGCCCCCTATCGTACTGCCGATGTTGTCAAGTCACAACGGGGAGTTTTGATTAAGCAGATCCCCTAGCCTACTGCTAATGTCAAATCAGGTTTAGAGAAGGAGATCGCCATACACGATGTTCTTTGCGTATGCGATTCCATCTCGGACACGTTCGGGGTGTACGAGAACAACAATATGGTCTGGATGTCTGACCCTACTGAGCAAAACGTATAGTTGCCCGTGCGTGAAGCAATCGGTCCGTAAATCAACACCGACTGAATCTATTGTCTGACCTTGGCTCTTGTGTCCGGTCATGCAATAGGCCAACATCAGTGGGAACTGACGTCGACGAACACGTAACGGCGAACCCTCGACAAACGCAAAAGTAAAGGTAATCCGGGGAATTCCGATAGGTTGCGTCTGTCCGGGAAGTCTCACTGTAATCAGACGGTTGGAGATGCCGATTACAATGACTTTAGTGCCGTTGACGAGTCCTTCAGCGATGTTGAGATTCCTCATAATGAGGCAAACAGAGCCGATCTTCAGCCGCAGAACATGGTCTGGTACGCCCTTGCCAGTAGCCGTGTTCAGGAGTTGAACGTCGACATCCAGGCCATCGTCGTTCTCTCTGTCGACTGTGTCGGCGCTCCTCAGCTCGTACAGATGACCGTCGAGGGAGTTCAAGATGTGGTCGTTGATCTCCTTGACGTTCACTATCAGAGTCGAGAGGATTGCGCGTCGCGAACACATATCAGAGTCGAGTAGGACGTTTGCGGGAAAGACGGAATCGACCAAATCAGTCAAAGACGTCACTTGTCTAATCCCGAGCAGCGGAATTAGACTTTGTTCGTTCCGTCCCTCCAAGAAAGTGGTCGAACTGACAGTTCCGTTGCCTACCCTAAGAAGGAATTCGGAATAGGCTGTGGAACTACTAGTCCGATGAGCTGTTGTCAGGGCAAAAATTTTGAAATGCTGCCACAGATGGGAAGCCCGAAGTGAGACACAAACAATGTCAGTTGGAGTACGAGCGTTTACAACGACAGGCGCGATCTGGCGAAAGTCGCCACAACAGAGGAATATTTTACCACCGAATAGCTCACTGGAACGCATGAGGTCTCGCAGGGATCTGTCAAGAACCTCGAAAACGAACCGATGAGCCATCGGGGCCTCATCAAAGACAATGAGCCTTGCGGCCCTGATGAGCTCTGCTCGCTGGGAGCCGTTGGTGATGTTCCAAAAGCCGGTGCCGTCACCGAAGTCGAGTGGCAACCGGAACATGCTGTGAGCTGTAGTTCCACCAGGCATGTTACCCGCGGCGATCCCAGAGCTAGCGACTGCCAGTGCAACCTGACGACAACCTCTCACGTATGCGAGAATGACACGAATCAGAGTGGTCTTCCCATAGCCTCCCGGACCGTCAAGAAAAATGATTTTCGACGACGTTCCGCTGGCAGGGGCATTGAGAACGGAGGTAACGTACTCAAATACGCGGTTTTGATCTTCAGAGAGCTTTGGCACCCACTCCTCCACAAACACTCTCTGTTGATTTTCACCGTGTAAGAGCAGTTCTCTGCCCAACTCCGTCGTGTCATCGTGTACATCGGGGAGGCCGTGATCTGCGACGCAAGAACCCTGCCGACGAAGACTCCGATCAATATCGATGAGTCCTAGCTTGTAGGCCAGTTCAACATCGAGAGGATTACGCTCTATGTGGTCCTCGCAGATGGAATCACGGAAAGCATCCCACAGGAGAGCTGCAGGAGCCCCCATGTTGCAAAGAAAGAACGAAGTCTCGGGCCAGTCATGAAAGTGGCGGCCTCGCGCAGTGCGTAGTGGTACTCCTGTTCGTCTTGCACCAAGCCAAGATGCCGCGCGACCCCTTGAAAAGTGCGGCAGTTTGGTCCACCGTGGGACAGGAGGTCGGCATAACCACGGCAAGATACAGTCATAAGCAGGATACGCAGGTAATACTGTTCTGTCCTGCTCGGAGAGACCCAAAACAGTCTGCACACCTTCTCGCCACGCTGTCGGGCAGTGATAAAATGGACGCCATCGGGGTGCTCGTATATCTCCGCAGTTTTTGGGCGCTTGACATGAACTACAAACGTGTCATAGAACCCCTGATAAGTCAGGTCGTCAAACAGTGAAATACGAGGCCGGTCAAAGTAGATGGTGAGTTTGGAGCTGTTCCTAGCGGCTGCATCTGCCAGTTGGCCAGGTCTAAACAGGACGGACTGCTTGCCCTCCAGATGGACGGGAAGACATTCAACAGCCGGCTCAGATTCTGATACTGGAAAGTTTAATAAACGCCAGCACGCGTCACTGGCACCCACCATTCTCTTCGTCACGTAATGCTGTACCTCATCATCTTGCTTACTGAAGGGAGTAACTGTGACGTTCTGGAGAGATCCTCCCTTCATAAGATATTTGAAGAGGTACTTAATCACGCGGCGAGTAGACGCCAGCTCCAAATTGATGTGGGCCTCGTATTTCAACATCAGTGCAGGATTATAAGGCACAACCCAACCGTCATGTACGATAATGTTCTTATTGCGTGATAATATTGTCCCCCGATTGGTATAATCTCGCTTGTACTGGACGAATCCCCTCTCGTCGACGTGGGTGGTTTCACAGCAGGGCTTGGGGAATTATTTGGTGCAGTAACCCTTTGCAGAGTCCCAACAGAGAAAGTCAGTCCTATGATCATTAACCACATGGACCGTGGATCATGTGTTTGAGGACCAACTTTCTCAGTCGGCCTCCGGCCTCTTCTTCCGAGGGAATATCCGCGCGGATGATGGAGTCAATTTCGGACGCCTGAACTGGTCCGTCGCCGTCAATCTTGAATACAATGTGGGCGTGAGGAAGGCCCCTCATTTGCATCTCGATGACGTAGACGATATAGACAGAGCGTCCAAACATTGCTCCGCTGCGCAGGTCTCGGAGAAGTTCCAGAAGTTTGATCCTAAAAACTCTGCAAGCAGTGCTAGGGTCACTGCGAGTACCTCCACGAGGGCAAGCTTTCTTGTTCTCCTCCCAAGTCGCGTTGTACGTAAACGTCAAAAAGAAAGTTGGGGAACCCAGGCGCGATACGATTGCCATAGCGTCTTCGTATTTTACTTTCATGTACCTGGGCCCACCGGTGAACGAACTTGGGAGGTAGACTTTCCCTGCCTGCACCCCACTCTCGCCTTGGACGGTTTCATCACGAGCGATGTCGTTCAAGACCTGCTGTGCATTCCGAATCTCGTCAACCGGCCCCACCCGCAAGGCACTATCGGTGTTCTTCAGCTGCGTAAACTTAATATAACGCAGTTTCTCCTCCTCATACCTCGCGAACATCTCAACCTGCCAAGCTTGTGAGAGACGGCCTAGGTGAGAGAAGCGAGGTTCCGAAAGTAGGAGGCACCGCGAGTACTTAAATTGAGTCAGCTTAGCACCCTTGTTGTCAAGACGACCAACGTGCCATCCCACAGTGCCTTGTGGGTAGAGTAGGGGATATTGGAAAGGTTCCATCAGGGGATGTAAAAGATCTATAAATGTAGGTCTGTCAGAACCGGATTTCCATATTGTCAGTCTCCGGGGCTCAGTGTCATTTTCATCATTGCTGAGCACGGCGTGCACTTCAACTCCTGTTTGCCGATCGCCGAGAACAGGACCATGGGTAGACCTGCTTGTTATCTCAAATGCCAAGTGAGCATTCACAGAAGGCTCGTTGCTCAATCGACGGTAATGCTCAATGTAAGGATTTTCCCTCGACAGGAAATCAGCAATACCGTCGATGATCTCGGCATCAAGCGATCTACCCATCGCAATGTTACGGCGCTCTTCGCCATCGTCAATATACAGGCGGGACCGATTCACAAACTGAACGTTCCCAGAACGAGTGGTGAACTTTTGTCCTGGGGCGTCCAGATTGTAGACCTGATGGTACATTCTTCCCTCGATCTTGAAAAAAGAAAGACCACTGGGATGACGATACCCGCCTGACACTTCGAGCGCGCAGAAAGCAAACAGATCGTTGTAGGCACGAGCTCTTTCCAGGAAGTGACGATCAGAATAGAAGGGCTCTTGCAAAGGAGGAAGTTCGAGAACATTGAAGGCTCCCTCCCCACAGCACCATTGCTTTCTATTCTTCTCCTCCTCGAAGAGCCGTGCTTGACAATGACTACATCTGTATATGTCGTCCGCCCAGAGACTCACTTTTTTTAATTTATAAGGCTGTATTGTGTCTAGTAGTTCTCCACTCCAAACGGACAGTGGACCATTTTTCACTACGGACCGAGCAAGTGGACCGGGCAGATGATGGAGTTCTGAAAGTATTGGATTTCTTAAACGAAAAATCTGCATTCTTTCGGCAGAAGCACCGGGATTGCGTAATTCGTAATCTCTAACCGCTCTCCTGTTCACCTCAGGGTGTCTTTGAGAGTACGTGTGCACATCATGGCGGTTTTTCTCCGGATGCGTTTCCCGGTACTTCTTCTTCGCTGCTTCCACTTGCTCTTCCCGGGTCGTGTCTAGATTTTTTGGACGACCACGCTTTATTGATTTTGGTCTACCAGGACCTTTGGTTTTCTTAACAACTGTCTCAGAATCAGATTCTGATAACTGTGTTAAGTTATTGTCCGAACATTCGACCGTGTGGACAGTTTGGTTGACGGAAAATTTAATTTTTGTAACGGAGTACTGTCCACCGACGAACGCCGAATTTACCAACATGAGGGAAGCTAGAGAAAGAAAATTATTGCAAACAAACACCCTAGCCTTATTTCTTGCCTCATCGATGTCTCGACGACGGTTCTCGTTGACAGCGTGGGAATCAAGTAGGTACAGCCGCCCTTGAAAACGCCAAAAAGCGACTGTCACCAACTGTCCCGTAAACAAGAAACCGCCATCAATAGAGTCGCCAGGCATAGCTGCTTCCAACATCGACGACAAGGAACTGGTCACCTCATCTAAATCATCGAAGCTGAACGGATACAACCCGTCCCCAACATTAGAAATTTCTTCGATGGTTACACGATGTTGTGCAACCACAAAGTGTCTGGCAAGGTCCTCAGGGAATAGGTACCTGTTAGTGATGCTATACTCATGGCGAGATTGTGTATACAAGATGTCGCCCGCCATGAGTATCTCGTCAATAGCGTTGGTACTTAATCCGCCGCAGAACACTTGCCAGGCGAGGGCACAGGCTGCATTAGCCATGCATTGTGCGTTGTTGCTCTCGGTAAACCTGGGATCTCCCTGGTGGAATGACCCAGCAGCAACGCAAGAGAAAGTCATGCTAACACGAATATGTAGCTAAATTGGCAAAAATATAAGTCCAAAAAATAGGAAGAAGTGGCACTGAAACTTCGTCATGAGTAGTCGCATCCATAAGCAAAAATTAGAGCGAGAACCAAATCGTTAGATTGCGTTATCGACTTTTGCATACCTCTTTACCAAGAATCCGCCATTTTTATTTTTTAAGGGGGTTAATAGTCTTAAAATGTTACTTTAGACACTTATCTTCAAATGTTGGTAGCATTATAAGTACAAATATATATCCTAACAAAGTCATTAAATTTCAATGTTATTCTCCATAAGAATAACATGGGGCTCGTAAAAGTGGTAAAATCCTTTCAAATTTTGACATTAAAATTTAGTTTTGGGGGTGAAGGAGTAAAGTTACGAAAAAACACGTGATGAGTAAAAATTTAAGTAAACTACGGAGAATACAAAGCAATAATAATGTTTGCAAAAAAAATTATTTAGGTTTGGAAAAATAGCAAAAACTGTTAAAAATTTGGAAGAAATTGACCAAATCTTGAAAGTAGGGCGTTTTTTTAAGGTTAAGGAGTGCGATTTTCGAAAAAAGCATAGTTGAGTCTTGTAGAAAATTTAATTCCGAACCTACGATTTTTCCTCAAATCGTTTCTAGCTCTTACCGTTTTCGAGCTATAGCCGTTTGAAAAAAAAGTGTTTTGTCGTTTTTAGAGGTCCGCCATTTTGGATTTTTGGGGGGGGGTAAAATTTGAAAATGGGACTTTTGCAAATTTCCCCGTTAATTTAAGATACCATACTACGTTACTACCAAATTTCAAGTCTCTAGCACGTTTCTAAACCGTTCAGATGAGCTCACCAAATTTGGCCACTTTTAATGTTATTCCCCATAAGAATAACATGGGGGGAAATTCAAGATTACGGGGGGGTTAAAATTTGAAAATGTCACTTTTTGGAATTTTATGGGTGGTTTGGGCGCTAGACCTACAACCACCGAAAATTTCAAGTCTCTAGCTCATCTAGAAGTGGTCTAGAATTTGTATACCTGAGTGAGTAACAATTGCGGCTGTATAGTATTTAGACATGTAAATTGAAAAAGGTGGCACGGCACAAACATAATATATAAATAATAAATGATAAGTTTTTCTCGAAAAAAGTTCAATTTTTAACTAAATTTAATTAAGTCTGATGAAAACGTCCAATTATAAATATCTGACAAAACCATTTTCTAGTATTTTCTCTAGTAATAACTTGTTGACACGTCGGTCTGTAAATATATGAGCCAATCCATATAATTGTACATTTAAATACCCATTTGCATACACCATAAGCTAGTTAATTGCTTGTTGAACACAGGTGAACCAAGCTCATATAACACACTAAATAAATGATTACAATATGCAACACATCACTAACGCTTTAAATGTTCTTGCTCAGGCACCCTTTCATTTGTCTATGTATTTTACAATGGTACCTGGGGACCGATTCCTGGCTTGGTGTTGTTTATTTCCATTTTTTAAACAATATAAAGGATTCTCACGTTTTATTTACAACTAGTTTTGGCTTTTATTATTTAAGTTTCAGTGTAATTCAAATTTATTATGATGGAAATTTAAACCTGGCAATTTACAACAGATTAATTTATTCATCAGTCGATGGTAAAATCACTCGTTTATAATACCATATACTTGCATTAACAATCTTTTGACAGTTTGTTTGTTCATATACAAAAAATAAATGTAACATAATTAGATATTTCACTGTTAAAAACAAAATTTGCTAAACATTGCCTCAGTACTTTGGGAATAAGGTTTTAATAGGATAGAACCAAGTAAAATAATAAGTATTTGATCGGAAATATTTTCATATATATCGAGTAACCTTCAGTGTAATCTTTGCTAAATAGTAACAACTGACGTCTTCCCCTTTGTACTGTATTTTGTAATTTGCTAGTAGACTGTGGATAGCTTGTTATAAACACATCTAACAACTCTTTTGTTTACTTTTTCCTTGTTATTTTGTTCAATTAACATGGTTACTTGGCAACCCATAAAGCCAATGAAAAACTGTTGACTTTCAATTTCATTTTTACTTAATTAGATTTTTGTTGGCAGTTGTACTGCAGTAAAAAGTTTTATGCCAGAAAAATTTATTTGCCAAATTTGAGGGAAATTGTCGAAGCCGTTTACGAGATCGTTGTGCAAGCATACAATCATACATACAATCATACATCATA